AATTGCCCTTTTATGTTTAGATATATTCCTTGTTTCCATAATCTCTCTGGGATTTTTACCACGAAGTGCTGGATTTTGTCAAAGGCATTTTCTTCATCTAATGAGATGATCATGTGTTTTTGTTTTGTTTTTTTTTGCTTTCTTTCAGTTTGATTATATAGTAGATTTAATTTACTGATTTTCATATATTGAACCATTCCTGAATCTCTGGGATGAAACCTACTCGATCATGGTGGGTGATCTTTTTGATGTGTTCTTGGATTTTTATTTGCAAGTATTTTATTGTGTAATTTTGCATCAAAGTTCACAAGGGAAATTGGTCTGTAATTCTCTTTTTTGTTGAGTCTTTATGTAGTTCAACTATTAGTGTAACTGTGGTTCATAAAAGGAATTAGGCAATGCTCCTTCTGTTTCTATTTTGTGGAATAACTTGAGGAGTATTGGCATTACTTGTACTTTGAAAGTCTGGAAGAATTCTGTGTTAAAACCATCTGGCATGGGCTTTTTTAGTTGGGTGACTTTAATTTACTGTTTCTATTTCACTAGGGGTTGCAGGTTTATTTAAATTGTTTATCTGATCTTGATTTACCTTTGGTAGGTGGTACCTATGAGAAAATTATCCATTTCTTTTAGGTTTTCCAATTTTGTGGAATACAGATTTTTAAAGTATTGCCTTATGATTCTCTCAGTTTTTGATGTCCCCCTCCTTTTTGTTTCTGATTTTGTTCATTTGAATATACTCTCTCTGCCTTAGTTAATTTGGATAAGGGTTTGTCTGTCTTTTTGATTTTCTCAAGGAACCAACGCTTTGTTTTATTGATTATTTGGAATGTTCTCTTTGTTTCCATTTTATGGATTTCATCCGTCTACTGAAATTTAATATTTCTTGCCATCTACTCCTCTCGAGTGTGATTCCTTCTTTTTGTTTTAGAGCTTTCAGCTGTGCTGGGAAGTTGGCAGTACAAGATCTCTTATGATTTTTCTGTAGACGCTTAGTGCTATGAAATTTCCTCATAGCACTGCTTTCACTATGTCCCATAGGTTTGGGTATGTTGTGTTTTCATTTTCATTGAATTCTAGGAAATCTGTATTTCTTTCTTTCTTTCTTTCTTTCTTTCTTTCTTTCTTTCTTTCTTT